TTATCTCCTTTCAATAGATCTTCTTGTTGTCATTAGCCTCTTCTTCTTCTTCTTGATTATCTCCTTTCAATAGATCTTCTTGTTGTCATTAGCCTAAGTCGCCCTTCTTCTTCTTCTTGATTTGTCATTAACCTCTTCTTCTTCTTCTTCTTCTTGATTATCTCCTTTCAATAGATTGTCTTGTTGTCATTAGCCTCTTTTTCTTCTTCTTCTTAATAATCTCTTTTCAATAGATCTTTTTGCTGTCATTAGCCTAAGTCGCTCTTTTTCTTCTTGTTGATTATCTTCTTCTTCTTCTTCTTCTTCTTCTTCTTTTGGTTAAACCCCTATTTTGGTCCCTGAACTATTGTACGGATGCCCAATTTGGTCCCTACTGTTTACCAATTTAACCCCAACTTGGTCATTCTGTTAAATAATAGCTCAGGGACCAAATTGGGGCGAAATTGTAAACAATAAGGACCAAATTAGGGGTCCGTACAATAGTTCAAGGACCAACTTAGGCCAAATTATAAACAGTGGGGACCAAATCGGGGGTTCGTACAACAGTTTAAGGACCAAATCAAGGATTTCTTTAGTTCAGGGACCAAATTGGGGGTCCGTACAATAGTTCAGGGACCAAAATGGGGATTTAACCTTTTCTTTTTCTTCTTGATTATCTCCTTTCAATAGATCTTCTTGCTGTCAGTAGCCTAAGTCACCCTTTTAGGTTTTAAACTTAGCCTAAGTCGCCCTTTTAGGTTTTCAACTTAAACCTTGCACCCATTTCTTCTTCTTCTTCTTCTTTTTCTTGTGTTCGTAGATGAGCAAGCTACAAATCCTCTGTTAAGGACTTTAAATTGGCTTGTATTGTGGTTTAGGGCTTAGCTAATTAGAAAGAAAGGACAAAATGGCTCAAAATTCCCTTCTTCTTGTGTTCATAGATGAGCAAGCTACAAATCCTCTTGTTGTTGTTGTTGTTGTTGTGTTCATAGATGAGCAAGCTACAAATCCCCTTCTTCTTCTTCTTCTTCTTCTTCTTCTTCTTCTTCTTCTTGTGTTCATAGATGAGCAAGCTACAAATCCTGTTATAAGGACTTTAAATTGGCTTGTATCGTGGTTTAGGGCTCAGCTAATTAGAAAGAAAGGACAAAATGGCTCAAAATTCCCTTTTCCCATTAAATCCCCTCACTTACACTCTTTTCACCCGAGGTTCTTGATGTAGGACAATTTAGAAAATCGTCAGGCTCTTATAAGTTAGACGATTGCCTTTTCTTTTGGCTCAAAATGGGTTTCTAAGGGTAATTTCCATGCTCAAAGGATAAAGAAGAATAGCCTTTTGTCAGTGGATTCGTTACTTCCTCATTATGAACACTTTTCTTTATTTTGCCTAGACTGCCCCATTGGGTTTTCAACCTAACTCTTTTTTCTTTCTTTCTTTCTTTCTTTTTACACAATATTTCTTGACAACATTTACATTCACCGGATGTACGAGATCATCACCATCAAGATAAGCTAATAATAAAGCTCCTCTTGAAAAAGCCACCTTCATAATGTAAGGATTGTCGTAGTGTGGAGCAAAATTTCCCCTCAGATCCCTCTCATTGGGTAGGATTTTCTTCAAAACATTTCCTTCCTAAAACCTTCGAGGCTTGACCTTCCTATTATATGTTGCAGCCATTCTGATTAGGCTGCAATTTTAGTTCTTCTTCTTTCAACATGTTAGTCAATTCAGGAAAAGGTTCTAATTCTTCATCATCTTTCATAAAATAAATTGGTTCATCAAAACTATGTGTTAGTTCATGAATGATATCACTATTTATGGATTTATCATCAGCAAACCTAGAGATGGAAATTTTGGCTATCATAAGAAAATTGAAGAAAATTGAATAAAGCAAAAGAAAATGAACAATTTTGCATATGAAGAGAGGAAAGGAAAATGAAAGTAACACCATTTATTGAAATGAACTGAATGGGAACAATGTTTGTCATGCCTACAATCCTTCATAAAATATAAAAGGCTTGTTTTAACCATCTCTTCTCATGGTCACAAGCTCAACCACAAGAAGATTAACACATCTTATGATTTAATGATAGGAACAGGAAGAATCGTTACTGTCCAGTTGTCTAAAGATTTGCCATGAACAGGCAAAATAGACCAAAAAAGATATTTAACCCTTTTCATTTGGTGGTTGTAAAAAAAAAAAATTGAAAACTCTAATTCACCCCATTGTTAGAGTATTTGAGTCAACATGACATAATGAAAGTCCAAAATGGCAAGAAAGATAGGAATCAGGCATAGGCAAGATTTAGTTGCAAGAAATTAAAACACATAAAAAGGGTAGTAAACTCAAAGGTAGACACAATCAAGATATCCATATCAAGTATTTCAGAATTTCAAGATCAACTAATAGAATAAATTCTTAATTGAGTTAAAACTCCAAAGAGATTAGGATTAATAAATAGGAATATGGTGACAAGAAATAGATTTTATGAACTGCATGTAAGGCAAAATTCAAACCAACATAGTTAATTAATGAGATGTATGCACAAATACATTCAGAAGCATATTTTAGAAATATATTCTAGAAGCATTTTAAATAATTCAAGATATAATAAATAGAAGGGATTAGGATTTAGTAGTATATCAAATAAATGTCTCTATATAACCCCAATCCACATTCCTAAAAGGTCCATTCCTAGCAAAGTTTTAATTATCATGAAGAATCCAAGAACATTGACTAAAATCTAATTAACTATCTGTATTAATTATCACAAATAAGAAAACAAATAAGAAAACCAAGACAAAAACTTAGACCCAAGAATTCCAAATCAAAGCATCATATGAGATTTGAACTTGGCAAGATTGAGATAGAAGAGAGGAGATGATAGAGAGAAGGGGATGAAGAGAGAAAGAGAGAGGAGGAGTCACAAGATTTTAAGGTTCAAAGAGGTGAAAGGAATAGGGAAGATGAAGAAGTTTAGGGCAATTATGTAATCTGACATACCTCAATTTATTAAATAAATATAAATATTAATTTATGTTCATGTCATAATTTTTAAAAGCAATAAAAATTTGTTTTAGTGTGCTAATATGAAAAAAAAAAAAAGTTAAAAGGGCCCATTTAGATAAGAAAAGATTACCAATACCACATCATCAAATTAATAATTTTAGAATTTCCACGTACTTTTTACAAATTGAATAAAATGAATTTTTATAGAGCTTAGGTCCTAGTCAGCATTTAACTAATGGAAGGAATAAGTTGGTACAAAAAAGAAAAAAGTTTAATGAGCATTTTAGTATGGGAAAAGGGAAAAGGGAAAATCATGACGTTCTGATATTAAAAATGTCAAGATAACTAATAATAACCACATGATATGTAGGGTATGATGCGGGTCTTAATTTTATTAAATTCATCATGTGACTATTATTGAATGTTTTGACACTTTTATTACCAAGACGTCTTGATTTTTCCTTTTCTCTTTTAGTATTTTTTAAAGTTTAAAGATCATTTTGATCTAAGTTTGAAAGTTTAGGGACCAATTGATTAAAACAATTAATTATTATTACTTTTTTTTCTTTCGTGCATACTCTAATCCAACAAAAGTTGGAACATAGAGCCAAAGTATAGTACCTCTCTTGTGCCTTTTGATGGTCAGGTGCAAAGAACTTGGAGGCAAGTTCCAACACCTTTTTAACCTTTGATTTGCAAATTTTCTGTTTGCCAAAAATGGAGAAAACTGGCATAAGCCTTCAAACTTTAATATTTTGACCTATGAACCCCATCTTTTGACTCTTTGCATGTAAGTCTTTTTCTTCTAATTTTGTACAATTAATCATGGAACCTTCAAGCGTTAAAAATTACATAATTAATAGAATCAATATTAATAAAATTATTTATAAAAAAAAAATACTACTCTTAACCTATAATGTTATATATGTTAATTGTTGAATAAATTTTAAATATATATTTTCATACTTTTATCATAAATACCCACAGTTGATAAACCAAACGGAAAATTGTAAAAGAATTATTAGACCAAACTGAAAAGCAAAATTCACAGGGTGGAAACCCTAGTCCTGCCACAAATCTACAAATGACTTTATGAAAGACTTAGAATAGAATATATATACTTTCGTTCCATCCTCGTTAAATTTCTAGTCAATTGATCTATTGAATCATTTTTTGAGGACTGAAACATTTGCAGATAAACTAGTCGGCACAGGGTACCCTCTAGCAATGCCCCTCAAGCCGTGCGTTAATACCATTTCGTCAAAATAGTCTTTACTGCATTTTAATGATTCACCTTTTTCCCTTCTTTTTTTTTTTTGGGATTCACGATGAAAAAAAAAAAATGCAGAGCGTAGCTTGATTATACATTCATTTCCTTCACCCTTCTTTCAGGCTCAATTTCCGCACTTAATTCATTGATCCTAATCTTCTTCGATGTTCCTAGACGCAAAAGCTGAAAGAACCGGGAGAGTCGAGGCAGACCTGTGACATGTAAGATGAAGCCTTCTTTAATTTCCGAGCTATTTTTTCCTTTACTTTTAGAGAAAGGAAATGTGGGGGATAGTGGAAAAATAAACAAGAAATCAGAGTTCCATTCATTTTAGGTGCACTCTTAACATCTATTGAGGATTGCCTAATTTTCTTGAAGATGGGGCAGTTTAAAGACCTGATCAAGTCTGCTATAGTTACTCTAATTACGTCCAGGCCGCCAGGGCCAATTCCAGTTTTACCAGACAAGAAATTTAAGCACCAGTTAGTTGACTGCTCTCTCTCATGTATTCTGTTAGAAAAGTGGCAGGAGCAGCAAATAAAGAACAATCTCAGTCGCACAAAGGAGAAGTCTTGTCCAAAACACAAGGACTCCTTCCTCCAATCTAGTTAAGAAGGATTGCTGATGCCAAAAAACAAACTCAGCACAACTGATCACTTTCTTTTCCAGCAGAACACAATGCATCTTCTGAATCCTCTTTTAGCTGAAAAAACCCCCAAAAAAAAAAAACAGTAGAATAAAGGATAAAAACAACGTTCGGTTCTACATAAATGAAACGTCAAACTAAATTTTCCGAAGAAAGAAGCTTTTATTATGATAGCCTACCAGCTTGAGATGGTTCATCAAAACTCCATTTAGTAGCCTTTTGAGGTTATCATACTGATCAATCATGTAACCTGAATTTATCAATCCCTCAAGTTGGCACCAAAGGCGCTCGATCATTGTGTACGGGAACCACACAGCTAGAGATCGTTTTCGATGCATTATATTAAAAGGTCTCTGCATAACATTAAATAAACAAATTGACAGACAAGAAAAAAACAAATACTCAAGGACAAAAATGATAATCTACATGCTTAAGCATAATGATCCTATGAACAAAAAAGGAATTATGATGCAAATCAATCATTTTTCTTTTGGCAACAATTCAAAGCAAATTGAGAGAGTGAAAACTGCAACCAACCATTGATGCAAATACTTCCATGTATGTCAGTAACAAATTTGTAGCTTCTGTATATCGACCATACTCAACATAGAGGCAAAACAAGGATGCAGGACTGGGCCCTTGACCAGTCATTGTGAAGTTATTTTCCCTTTGACCATCCTGTCAAGATCCAAGATAATCTGTTTGTGAACACTACTTAAAGATGAATCAAGTTAAAAGTAAGAAAAAAAAAAAAAAGAGGAGGTGAAATGCGTTTGACAGTATGAAACAAAAAATAAAAAAAAGTGTCCTGAAAGGCAGAATTAATCCTGATGAAACTCACTTCTGTAGTCTTCCCAAAGAATGTACTCACATTACACTTACCTGATGGTAGTTCATATTGAGGCAATGTATATAATAAGCCATTGCTTGAGATAAGGAAAATGTGTTTAACAGTATGGTAGTTCAGATAATGCTAGAAAATCCTGCCATTTTTAATGTGAACTTTGTAAAAATGTTATCAATAGCTTTGATAAATTTTCTTTTAAATAAATTAGAATATAAGGCCCTTCCAATTTTTCTCTTTTTATACCTAGGGATTACTTCCAGTAGACTCTAATTTAAAGTAGAATTCGGCCACTAACCTTTTATTGGGTTGGCATAGAAAAGAAAAACAAAGTT